TATCGCTGTGATCATTGCATCATCAATCTTTAACTTCCTTGCAACTTTCTTCCAGTCCTCAGGGTTAATGTCATTGGCCAGTAGTTCCAATTCATCATTTTCAGGATTGCCTTTTTTCACTACCACAGAAAAAATGAATTCAAATCAAAATACATCAAAAGTGCATTCTATTTTACAGTAAATACAGCAGGAAAACATGATTAAGCATATCGAGAGATGACATATTTTCCCAATATTGTCTCTCACAGCTGTGAGGGTGATACTGCTCCAGCTTATCCTAGTTTCCATGGAGCAACTTAGTGTGGCTACCTCTTGTGGATGGGATACAAATCCATCACAAGTAACCACACACCCCCAACCCCCCCTTCCACCGCTCAACATTTAATCAGATTCTTTAACAATTTATCAGTAACCATTTGCACTTGTGAATGGAGGTGGGCAGTGCAATAGTAAAATGTCTTCCCGAAGAACAATACTAAATGACGCTGCCATGGCTTAAACACAGAATACCCCTTAAACTGGAGTCCAGCACATTGACAAAATGGAAACCATTGTGGGTCCTATGCCACAGGCATCACAGTGATCCAAGAAATTTTTACTAGCTCTATAATCCCCCTAAAGGTCAACCAATCAAGCTACTGATCATATGTCTGCCAATGGAATCACTTCGATTGTGAGGGAGAACAAAATCTGCTCACTAACTGCCACCATTTTTGCCCATACAATTGGTGACATGCATAGTTAAAAAAAAAAATCATCCTGGTAATAACCGAGCTGAAGTGTTTATGAGGAAAAAATTATTGCCCTGTTCCCAGGAACCAAGATCTTTGGAACCAAGCCAGACCACGTGCTCACATGAACATATGAAGATATTTAAGAAAGGATTAGGGATGTGCCAAGATCTCAGGAACCACTGGCCAGCCTGGTCAACCAGGATCAAAGGAAGAGGCCCTTTGTCTCTAAATTAGTAGGCATTAAATCAAACAAGATAGTAAGTTTTGAGCACGGTAAAGAAATAGAGAAGATGTTTTTCGTCTTGCATGAGCATGGGACGAATGAAAATTCTGAGTTCCCACGAGGAGTCAAATCTCAGACCTTTGGAATTTCTCTACTATGTATGTATTCATGCACATCTTCACAGCACTTTCTAGAGGCACCCATACTTAGGTCAAACTTGCACCCATTTCAGCCACATTAGAGTGAATGCTAAAGCCACAGACCCTCAGGATAAAGTGGCAGATTGTCCAATAAACTACTTGCAGATGTATCTTAATTAGAACTGTTTCAATAGTTTTCCTGTTTTTTTTTTCAAGTGTGTGTGTTTATATCCATACAATAATTGCACCAACATTGTCAATTAAGAAAACAAGCATATAGAAAAAGTTAGATTAAGGAAAAATAACCCTATTTATCTAAATATCTAGATCTGAAATATAAGTCAGAAAAAGTAAACTTAGTTAAGCTAATTCATACTGATTTATGAATGTTTTGATCCTAGTTATCCTATTCTTTTTTTTTTTTTAATTCATCATCACTGTTTCAGGGTTGTTGCTAATTCCCAGGAAAAATTACAATTAAAAAAATATTAATTAAAACCTGATTGCATGGCCTTTTTGTTATTCTCCTGATTGACAACTTAGCTATTGCAAGTAGGGTGCATGTATATGACTTCTTTATCACTTTTCAGTTACAATTAGCCTGTTTGTCTACTAGCTTACTCGTATTCATGATTGCTATGGATTCATGGACAGTTACTTATAGTAACCGTTTGGTTCAGATTTGATCAAGTCAACCATTCAACTTTCTTACCCCGTAGATTGATAGATTCTTCCCTTTCTTCACTAATAGAAGGGCCCTGTTTGGGATTAGCTTCTTGTCTCCCCTTTGTTTTGGGTCCATCTTCACTTTCTCTCCCCATCTCTACATCAGTAACTAATTGAGGGTTAAAAAATAATAATAATAATCAAATTAATTTACTGCACATAAATTGACAAAAACCAGTTGGGTATATGAAATCAATATAAAATTCAAACAATAAATATCTCCAAATGAACAAGTGGTTCACTTAATAAATACTTCCTAACACCCACTAAAAATTACCAATGAAATTAAAAGAACAGTCTTTTCCACTGCCATGATAGCTCTTCATATCAAGGGTGGAAGTAAAAATCATCTAATGCAAACGGATTCAATCTTAGGCTCTTAGGCTGAAACCAAAATTTCCAGTAGAATTGACAGTCATGTTTATCTTTTAATTAAAGAGGTGTTTAAAGGAAAAAAGTTCACTTCTACGAGCCGATAGCTGAGAGGAAAAGGTTGCAGTTGCCTGGGTCTTGCCTTGTCAACCAAATCCACAATACAAGAAATTCGAGTCACCGATCACATATTTTCATTCAGAGCGGCCTTTAAAAATGGCGGACCAAAATTACAGAGGATTTTATAGGATGAAAAATAATGTACAAATAACTGAACAATAAGCGAAGATGATAATATTCCACCGCTCCTAAACGAAAGAAAACAACTTTAAGGTTACAGAAATGTTTTTGGTTCCATGATTTTGGAAAGAAAAGTTCGAACAAATTGAGAAACAAAATTTTACCCTACACAGAACTCAATTGTCTCATGTTTTCTCAAATTTCTTCAAGCATTATAATTACTCACCAAAACCTCTATTTTGGAGCGCAAATCTTGCATGAATTCATCTTCCCCGCTCTCGACAGCTTAGTCTAAAGACAAGCTAATATACAAGGCTTCAGAAAATGACCAAAATATTCCGTAGATCTATCGGCAAGTTCGAACTAATCAGCAAGTTTTAAAGGCAATATTTAGTCTAATTTCCCAAGCCGCTGCGAAAAACATACCCGACATTACAATGCAAGGAAGCGAGAAAACGTTAGCCATATCTTCTTGTTTACCTCGTTGTTTCGGTAGCCAATTTGAAAACTAACCACGCGTTTTCATGTGTAAATATTTGACTAAGAGTTAAGGTGGCTGGTACCAGTTTCCTCGCGCGGGGAACAGGTCACTCCTGCGTGACGCGCGAGATAAACGTGCGAAAGAAGCGCAAGATCAGAAGATGAAAATTCAAAACAAAGATGGCGGCGCGTGAATTTTTTTCTACATTTGTGAGAAGCTTAGCTAGGAGTGTGTATTTGATGTGTTGAGCGGCCACTGTGATTGCAGGAGATAGAAACTAAGAAAAAGAAGACGATTTTGGGAGAAGTAAAGGTTGCTTTACTTCACATCTTGAAGAAATATTCAACCGATATGAAATCTTGCGACGGCGAAAAAAGAACTGAAGTGAAGGATAATCTACCTGAAGTGGAAGAAGACTTTGAAACTTAAAAGAAAATATGATATAGCCAGGAGTCATGTGTAGGATTTTTAAGATGAGTTCGGGAGGCTGTCTTTGACGGCTGTTTAATGATTTTCTTAGCAGTAAACGTCTGTAAACATCAGATCGTAGGTGCTCGCGCGAGCACACGCAATTGTCAGCGGTAGCTAAAACAGATCATGAGCAAATGTCGATCTTATAGAATCCAGATTTTTAAATGCGCGAGAACGCGCGTGGAAATTGCTAAACTCACGAAAGCTATTGCATGAAAACAAGTCCGGTGACCCCTTCTTTTTATTGTTCCAATATGATAATAACGTCGAAAGGAATCATCAGAAAAAAAAANAAAAAAAACTAGAAAATTCTACGGAAGGAAATTTGCGATGTGTGAAAATTGCCCTTTTTGTAGATTTTCTGAAATTCCGCTCCGTAGAATTTTTTAAAAATCTTTGTGCATTTTCCTTTTCAAGTGCCAAAAGCAATCACTGAAAAAAATCAGGGGGTCACCGGGTTAGTTTTCGAATTATTTAAGCCACAAGCTAAAAAATGCGTCTGAATAAGCCTATGAAAGCGTTGCCATGGAAACTGCTAGTGACGAAATGACACTTATTTTTGGATAACCAATGATTATGTAATTCAACCCCGTAAAAGTGTTCAACTGGCCTTGGTCAGTCTTTCTGTTGTATTCTTTCAAAGTTACAAACCATCAAAAAGATGAAAACCGGTACGAGCCACCTTAAGGGACTGAATTCTTTTCTTGAGATAATTTCAATTCTATTCTTAGATTTCAACTTGAATTTCGTAACAAAAATAAGTTGTGTTTAATCCCAATGATAGATCAATTTGTATGACGTAAAGTAGCAAACAAATAAATTGTTGCTGGTGGTGTTGTTGTTGCCCTGTCGTTGTTCTTGTGGCCTCCTTGCCCAGCTTGGGAATACCCTTACCTATGTTGGTTGAAGACTGCGTATGGTTTTAGGTTTAATTAAGCCGAATGGTAAATGTTTATCAATTAATAAAGGGATGCTTCTATTACTATCAGCCTGTAAAGTCAGCCCTAAAATATAAGCTTCCCTACGTCCATCTTTTCTTGATACTTCATTGCTCAATGTATCTTAGAGGAAAAAATTCATTAGATGCGACTGCCTGTGGCCCTGTTTCTCTGCATATGCAAAATGCTATGTAAAGTATAGTACGTAACAAATGAAGACCAAAACGAAATGTACAGAGTGAAAAAATCAAGCATCAGGCGAAAAACAAGCAATTATGAATCAAGAAATACGCTATTTTTAAGTGTTGCAGTCGTACAGAAAAAAGAACTCGTGAACTATATGTGGACATCTGAAACTGGGTGTGTCTGAAACTGGGCTAAAGCCTGAAACTAAGCCTGCATTGGAACTGACTTATGCACGAATTTAAAACTGAACCAGGAGTACACTGCATACGAAACTAAGCGCACATTCTAACTGAGCTATACTCACATCTAAAACTGAACTAGGCATGTACAGCAAACAAAACTGATGAAGTTCATATGACATTAAAACTGGGTTATGCACACACAAAACTAAGCTCGCACTGTTATTGAGTTGTGAGCTCACTTAAAACTTACTGGGCACACCCTAGAAACAAACTAAACTCAGATTGTAATATATGGTTTATGAAGACAATTAAAACTAAACTTGGTCGATACGGTAAGAAAAACTAAGCCCACGTTGTAGCTAAGTTTTGCACGCATTTAAAACCTAATCAAGGGTATATTAGAAACAACACTAAGTTTACATTATAGGAGAGTAATGTCTACCTTTAAAACTGAACAAGGCGTATAGCAGAAAGACTTAGATCCCGTCGTATCTTAGTACTGTGTGCAGTTAACACTGCATTTAGCGCACATTGGAAATAAAACTAAGCTTGCATTGTTAGAGAGTTATGTGAGTATTTTAAAATGAATTAGGCGCATACTGGATACAAAAACTAGCTCACACTGTAACAGAGTTATGCATGCATTAAAAACTGATCATAAACACACAATGGAGACAAAAGTAAACTCCTGTTGTAACAAGGCTATGCGTACAGCTTAAAACTCAACTAAGCTAGGCGTAAACTAGTAAGAATACCGAGCTCAGAGTTATGAGCCCATCTAAAGCTATATCACACATACACTGGAAAAGTCTGTTAGTAAGTTGTTTTCGCGCATATAGAACAGAATAAGGCTTTTACCAGAAATGCAACTAAACTTGTATGAATAGATAAAAAGAAAATAATTCAAATACTGGAAAATTAAAGACGAACGATCGAAGTTTCGGCCATATTCACACGGCCTTCATCAGGAAACTGCCGAGTCAGCCTAAGTCACGCAAGTGCCACGTAATAGCTGACTCGGCAAGTCCCGTAACGTACAGTCCCACGTCTGCGATAGCACAAACCGCAACCGCCCTTTCTTATTAAGAGAAGGGTCCTCTACCCTCTCCCAAACAGGTTCTTTGATGCCACGTCTGACCCAGTCTTCTTTCTTGTTCAAGATCTTAACACCGCTTAGACCAAAGGAGTGTCCCGAGCTTCGTAAATGGTTATAGACAGCCCAATTCTGTGCCTCTATGGTACTGGGCCATTTGTGCTGTCCCATTCTCGAGCCCAGTGCCTATTTGGTCTCTCAAACATAGGTTTCATTGCAGTTCTCATCACCACACTTTATCCCCTTGACCACCTGTGAGATCTTATCTTTGTGGGGTCAGGGCTCGACACTAACGTGGGGGGGTGGGGGGGCGACAGGGGGGGTTGGAGTCTCCCGCTTCCCGTCCCGCGCTCGCCCGCCTTCCGTACTTGTGTGCCCCCTAGCCTCCCGACTCCCGCCCTCCATGGTCTTGCTCCCGTCTTCAGGTCAATCAAGAGGATCAGAAACCCGGGTTAAACTTTCAAACAGAGCTAAAAGTTAATATTCTTGTTCATTTCGGCTGGCCTTTGTTTTGGCTGGGGATCCTTAGTTCTCTATGAAAGCTACTACGGGTCAGTTTTCTTACGAAATTAAGTTTCACTAACCGGGTTATCACAGTTTGATCGTCGCTTCTGACATCTCGTCATAGAGACGAAAGTCTCAGCTCACTATGTGATGTTAATAGCTACTGTCAATTCAAAATCAAATGAAAAAATCAAGAGGTAGACGTAACTTTTAGAGTTTGCTTCTTCTGCTGTTGTGCTTGCTTTCCCTTTTTGACGTAAGTAGGACTACGTATTCGTAGTTAGTACATCAATTGTTAAACCGTTTGCATTTTGCGCGTTCAGTTTAAATTCTAGTGAAGCATGATTGAACAGTCTTGTTCGACCTATTATCAGATTTGTTCGATGGGTTGAAATCGTCTTTTAACCTTTGCGGTTAGAAAAAGTCTTCCATGCGCCGAGGAGCCCGCACTGACCTCTTCCTACTCCAAACTTTGGTTAGAACCTCTTCAGTTTCATTTGTTTCGAAGGCCTAGTTTATACGTCGCGCTACAGTCATATTTAATTCAGACGAATTTAATTCCATTAAATTTGTCGTTCCGTCGACGTAAATCGTGGCGCGGTTTTATGCGTCGAAATCAATACGATCGAATTTATTTCTCTT